GCAAGCCTGACCGGTTGGGGGCCTCACCTAGAGGATCAGGCGGCTCAGGGACTTTGGTCCGACTCCAACCTTTCCCACAGTATGAATTGGCTAGAGCTGAGGGCCATCCATCTAGCCCTCCTTCATTTCCAGACCTCTCTTCAGAACTCACATGTGCTGGTCCGAATGGACAACACCATGGCCAAGGCGCATGTCAACCACCAGGGGGGACAAGAGCCGTTTCTCTCATGGAGTCTGCTTTTCGTCTAGGAACTTGGGCAGAAGCCAACCTTCTCTCCCTACACACCTAACACATCTCTGGTTCAGACAACACCACAGCAGACTGGTTGAGCCACACAACCATCGATCCTGCGGAGTGGAGCTTGAATCACCGGATATTTTGTCAACGGTCGTCCAGGTACAGGACTCCAATCCTGGATTTCTTCGCAACATCATCCAACAACCAGCTGCCCAGGTACCTGGCTCGATACACGACTCCAGGCGCGGAAAGGACGGATGCTCTCAGGTGTAGGTGGCCTCGCGGTCACCTTCCCTCCCTTTCCCCTAATACAGAGGGTGATTCGGAAAGTGATAGAGGAAGAGGCCGAACTCATCTTAATCGCCCCCCCATTGGCCGCGCCAGCCATGGTACGCGGACCTGATCAATCTATCAGTGGAATCTCAGTGGCTTCTGCCAAGGATCCTGTCCCTCCTTCATCAGGGCTCCATTCACCACCCTGACCTATGCTGGCTATGCCTAACCGCTTGGAGGCTGAGTGGGCGGTTCTGAGGTTAGATAACCTTTCCGAGATTGTGATCCATACCGTTCAGGCCTCCCGCCGCCCAGCTACCAATAGGATATACGAATCTACATGGCAGACATTCATAGCGTGGTGCCTGGAGCGAGGGGAGGATCCTTGGAAGGCTGCAGTACCCCAGCTTCTAGAGTTTTTACAGCAGAGTCTTGATAAAGGACTATCTCCGAATATCTTGCGGCGGCAGGTATCGGCTCTCTCCTCAGTTCTCTCTCTTTGCCGGGATGAACCTCTCTCATTGCACCCTCATGTCCGCAGATTCCTAAAGGGGCATCCAATCTCTGCCCTTCTGTCACACACCGGTTCTCCTCCTGGGATCTGACCAAGGTCCTCGACTTCCTTACGGAGCCGCCGTTTGAACCCCTCAGGTCAGCGACTTTGCATCACCTCACTCTCAAGATTGCCTTTCTGGTGGTAATAACAGTGGCATGGAGGGTGTCAGAACTGGCAGCTCTTTCCATCCGGGCCAACTTGTGTGTCTTCCACCCAGACCGTGTAGTCCTTCGCATCGACCCCACCTTTGTTCCGAAGGTGAATTCTGCATTCCATCGTTCTCTGGACCTTACCCTTCCAAATTTCTGCCCGGCTCCATTTCACAATCTGGAGCACAAGCTAGACGTCAGGCGTGCTCTTAAAACCTAGATCGCCAAGACAACTGTCTTCAGACGCAGCAAAGCCCTCTTCTCCTCTTTCCACCATACCAACAAAGGACTGAAAGCTTCTCCATCCATGATTGGACGATGGATCAGGTCTGCCATTGCTCAAACTTACATCACGCATCATCTCCCTCCTTGTGTGATTCTTGTGTATTTTAATTACGTGTATTGTGTTTTATGTCCCCTTTTCCCCTTTTGAGTTGTTCGTCGCCCTGAGTCCCTCCCAGAGAAGGGCGGCATACAAATAAACTAATCTGAATCTGAATCTGAATCTTCACCCAACATTACGACTCATTCTATGCGCAGCGCGGCCACATCAACGGCGTGTGCGTGACAGGCCTCGATGGAGGAGATCTGTAAGGCAGCCACCTGGGTTACCCCTAATTCCTTTATAAGACATTACAAGATAGATCGGTATGCATTGGCGGATGCAGCTTTTGGACGGCAAGTGCTCCAGCAGATCCTTCCGTCCTCCAGCTCCTAGGCCAGTCTCATGCCCTCCCAGGAACACGCCAGCTTTGGTACGTCCCATGCATGACCGCTGTCTCCACCAACTTTGGAGAATGGGGCATTGGTTCTTACCTGATACGTCCCTTCTCTGGGCAGGTGGAGACAGCGGTCATCCCCACCCTTGGGATTCCGGCCTACCTCGCAAGGGTATTCTAGGAGCATGTTGAGTAGAATTTGGAGAGAAAGCGATTGTTCACGCACAGCAGTCTACTAATCTCCGTCAAGAAAAGCAGGAGCATGCTCCTCAGAGGCGATGATATCACTTTGGTAGACTCGGTTCTATTGGTTACTGACTGAGTTAACCCGTGCATGACCGCTGTCTCCACCTGTCCAGAGAAGGGGCATATCAAGGAAGAACCAACGCCCCAGTCTCAGGAAGCCTAGGTCAGAATACCGGCCAGCTGGGCTTCTTCGGGCACTTAGCTGGGACACCTATTAGCTCCACCCCACCCTCCGCCTCAGCGAGTGGCATGCAAAAGTTTGTCTGGGTTTCTTGAGAGACAGACTTTTCAGGGTGCCGATCTAGCACTCGGGCTGGCTACAACACAAACATTCATTGATTGATGTAGAGTTGTCCATGCACACTCAGTCACATGACCCTCCCGAGCCACTCCCATCTAGTCATTAGAAAGAAGAGCCTGTTAAATTATTTGAATCCCACCCAGTAAGTTAGTAAAACCTTATTGTTCAGGTTAAATTGCCATGTTGGCACTTTGCGATAAATAAGTAGGTTTGGGGTTGCAGTTTGGGTACCCAGTCCCAAAAAGCTTCACCATTGCTGTCCTATTTCCTCCCTATCTCTCTGTAAAGAGAAAAACATTAGAACTATAGTGTCCAAATTTTTTACCAATTTTTTTTCCTTCAGCTTGAATGGAAGAAGATGTGTTTTTCTTTCCGCAACTTTGTTTTCCCTGGAATGTGCAGCACGTAAGGGCTAGGATCACCAGCCACCTGAGTAGAAACATACAGTATTGACTGATTCAAACTGTTTTGTGTAGTCCATTCTTGTCCATTTTGACTGATAGTAGTTCTCTAGGATCCTCAAGTAAGCAGTTTATTAAGCAACAGAGATTGAGCTCAGGATCATCTGTGTACAAAATCTGTGCTGCACTGAACTGTGATTTAACTGATTACATGCAGTTAAATATTTACTAGATAGAAAATAATTTGCTTGGAATATTGAAAATAGATATGTTTCTGTATCTTCTGTCTCTATACAGACATACACACACACACACACACACACACACACACACACATTTAAAAACAATGTTTCTCGCTATCATTGCATAATTTTCTGAAACATTTTGTATTTATAGATCAGCATTCAATGGAACTCTGTTCACCAAAAATTCCACATATCTCTTGGAACCGTTGGACCAAACTCAGGTTGCAGTAATTGTCATAATACTATTCTGCATCAGCTCCAAGAGATGTTTAATAAATCACCAAATGTTGTCCAACTATTACAGGTAACTTCTTTTGTCAAAAGAGAGTTTTTCTTTTGAAATAGGGAAAGCGTTGAAAGGACGGAATGGGACTGTTTGTCTCGGACCCTTTGCAGCCCCTTGTTTGCCCCCAGGATTCTGCCATCAGCCATTAACCCCTCTTCACTCCCAGACCCTTCATCACGGCCCATTAAGCAAAATACTGCTCACTCCAGACTTTTGGGATCAGGAGACAGTTCCCCGCCAGCCAACAGGAGGAAGGGAAGGGAGAAATAGAGAGAGAGGAAGGGAGAAAGTGTTCTGTGTCAAGTTTCCTCTCTGGGTTTTGTTTCTCCCCCCCCCCCTTTGCTGGAAAGCCCTTTGGATTCCCCCCTCCCCTTTGCTGGAAACCCTGAAAACCCTTGCTGGAAGTAGGAATCTACTGTTGCAAATTAACTACTTAGAAGAACTCTCTTCCAACCACAATACCAGCTACACATGTTATGTAGATGATAACATATTCCCAAAGATTTGAGGGATAATTACTGTAGCACTGGGGCTTCTTTCCATAGAAGGGGAAGGGGAAGGGAGGGAAGGGGGAAGAGCAGCTCAGAGAAAAGACAGAAAGCTTGTTGGCTCAACTTTGATTCAATCAATTATTATTATCTTCCCCAAAAGCTCTGCACATCCACACCCGAATCCAGTTGTGTTTAACTTTCCTGTAGCCCTTGGGTTTTCCTATCACATCTGGGGGGGGGGAATCCAAAGTGTTTACCAGCAAAGGGGGAGGGGGATCCAAAGGGCTTTTCAGCAGGGGTGGTGTTGGTAAATGCAACCTCCACACCCCAACCCAGTTGTGTTTAACTTTCCTGTTGCTGTTGTGTTGTCCTGTCACATTTGGGGGGCGGGGGGGAATGCAAAAGGTTTTCTAGTTCGGACCAAGGCGACTGGGTGAAGAAACAAACCCCAGAGAGGAAACTCAACATGGAATACTTTCTCTCTCTCTTTCTCCCTTCCCTTCCTCCGATTGGCTGGCGGTGAACTATCTGCTGAGCCCAAAAGCCCGGGATGAGCAGTATTTTGCCTAATGGGCCGTGATGAAGAGTCTGAGACTGAAGAGGGGCCCATTGGCCAGGCCAAATAGCTAGGGTCGTTTCAGTGGAGGAGAAATGGTAGGGGTTAATGGCTGGAGGAGGAACCCTGGGGGAGAACAAAGGGTGGTGAAGGGTACAAGGTGAACAGTCCTAGACCCTTGAAAGGTTGATGCTTTTGCATATGCGATCATAATACTTTATATGGAATACAGTAGGAAGACTTTTACCAGCAATTATACTTCTGTTTAGTTCTGCATTCTTACTACTATAATATAGGTAGTCCTCAACTTAGGACCACAGTTGAGCCCAAAATTTATGTTGCTAACTGAGAAATTTATTAGGTGAGTTTTGCCTCATTTTACAACTTTTTTTGCCACAGTTATTAAGTGAATCCCTACAGTTCTTAAATTAGTAACACTAATGTTAAGTGAACATTGTTTCCCTATTGACTTCACTCATCAGAAGTTCGCTAAAGGGGAACACATGACTCCAGGACACTGCAACTGTCATAAATGTGAGTCAGTTGTCAATCATCCAAATGTAAACCATGTGATCATGAAGTTGCTACAACAATCATAAGATGGAGCTTGCTCAGAGGCTGAAATACACCAAGTAAATGAGAGGAAGAGTGTGAAGTAGAGGAGAGAGGTAAGGGAAGAAGAGAGGGATAGGAGAGAGGAGGGGAAGAGGAGGAGAGAAAGGAGTGGAAAGGGGAGGGAGGAGAAGAAGAGAGGAAGGAGAAGGAAAGAAGAGAAGGACAACAGGGGGAAGAAAGGAGGTAGGGAGGAGGAGGAGAGAGGGAGAAGAAAGTGATGTATAGGGTACAAATATGGTGTATGGAGAGCAGAAAAGCCAATAATTGTTTTTGGGAATTGATGGTAAGACAAATTTATGTAAATATTTAACAATATAATATGATGTTGGTTATGTAATAGTATGCATGTGTTTATTTGTTATGAAAATGAAAAAATAAAAAAACTTTGTAAATCTACAATCATAAGAGTGAAAAATGGTCATGTCACTATTTTCAGTGCTGTTGTAACTTCAAACGGTCACTAAATGAACAGTCCTCGACTTACAGCAGTTCATTTAGTGACCATTACAATGGCATTAAAAATAGTTACTTCTGTAATGCTATGTCTTCATTTGGCTGTTACGAATAGAAGCATAAAAGCAACTGATCATATTTATTTCTGGAGAATCAATACATGTGCCTACCTATCATACAATTATAACTAAACAACTGTTGCTTTTATTTGCAGGTTTTGTATGATACTCAGGCTCCATTAAATGCTATCAATAAGCTTCCCACTGTGCCAATGCTGGGATTGACACAGCGTACTAACACTGCTTACCAGTGCTTCTCAATTCTGCCTCAGTCACCCACCCACATCAGGCTGGCTTTTAGGAATATGTATTGCATAGATATTTATTGCCAGAGCCGTGGAGTGGTGGCAATTCGTGATGGAGCATATAGTCTTTTTGACAATAGTAAAATTGTGGAAGGCTTTTATCCTGCACCAGGATTGAAGGTGACTGTTCTTTATGTATTTATTCTGTAGTACAAGTAGAATATTGACTGGGATCATTAATGTTTCAGATATCTTCTGTAAGAGGTAAAATTATTTGGAAGGTGCTTTCAAATACATGTTTAAAGTTGAAGCTTCTAACATGTTGAGTGGTAAGGAAATAAAGATAATATTCATTATCTTGTCTTTGGCGTTTCAGAATTGTGTTCTGGCTTTCTAGAACCTTTGCCTGAGTAGATTATAGTTCAGTTAGTTTCTGGCTTCATTCACAATTTAAACATTCTGGTAACAGGATTAGACAATTTTGTCTAAGTTTTGAAGAAATGTTTCCAGGGTTGTCTAATTGAATAAATGAGTCTGTGATTAGAACTTTTATTAATCACTTTATTAAAACTTTGTTTTTAAAAACTTTAAAGTTTTTAGAGTTCTGATAATGCAGCTAATATCACAATATTTTCAGTAACCTGGGCCAAGTCGTAGTTTTGAAATGGTACAATGGTTTATTGCAATGGATCTTCATAAATGAAAAAGATAATTGATGCTCATGGTGGTAAAAATCAACAATCACATTGATATGTCATTTCTGATCATTTGTAACATACAATTCATGCTATTACATATTAACCTTTGGAGATTTAGCAAGACACTTCCGTAAATATCTAAAAAATTAAAAATTTAAAACTGTAGCATGTTGCTTTTGAGATTAGTGTATCTTGAAAGATGTAATGACAATATATATTGTTTTATTATGTTATTGTAAACCTCTCAGAGTCACTCATGAAATGGGCAGTGTAAACATTTAATAAATAATTAAATACATGTTGTCACAGGGTTCTTTTGTTTGTACCCCATTTAGTGGGCTCCAACATCCCAGAAGGCCCACTCCAGTGTCCCTGGCTTTTAGGCAACACCAGCAGATCCTTGGCTAGTAATACCAATTTGTTTTCACACCCTTCTCAGGTGCCCACTGCTCTTTACTATCAGGAGTAAACTACAGTTCTAATCTGAAATTTCCTACATAGAAAAGTGAAACCCATAACCCTTCTCACTCCCAGAACTCTTCAACACCAACTGCTCCACCACAACAACTACAAACACCATCACACCACCATCACACCCAGCTGCTTTTCTTCTGGTCTTTTATAGTTACTCTCTGCTAAGTAGCTGGGGTGGCTGAGGAGAGGTCTTAAAGAGGCAGGCCCCCATCAGCCCAGGGGCTAACTAATCATAGGCAGCCTGTCCTCCTACATACATCAACCCTTTTTATATATGCAAAAAAAATCAGGTATGTGTTTGTGTACCTCATCTTCTGTAAACATGTGAGGGGCTGGTGGTTGGTAATCACTATGGTTTGGTAATCACCCAAACCAAGATATACTCACACAGAGCATTGATCACCCATTTCAATCCATACACCTCTTTCTTTGTGGTACTTTAGTTCTGTTCTCATGGAATGAGTGTCTTTGATAAATAAATTACAGAGTGTCCATCCCTTTGTGATTTTGCATCAGTGCTGCACCTAAACCGACATTGTACATGTCTATTTGTACAATAAGTGGTTGGGTAAAATCCAGTCCTCTCAGCACCGGTTTTCCACACAGAGCATTCTTTATCCTTTCAAATGCCTCCTAGCATTCTTCTATCCACCTTATCTTGGAGGGCTCTGTTTTCCTGATTAGGTTCGTTAAGCTGACAATTGTATTGAAATGGGGGGATAAAGAGTTGATAATATCCTGCCAACCCCAGGAAAGAGTGTACTTCTTTCTTTGTTTCTCCACCTTCCATGTTTGTAACTTTAGCCTGCCCTCTTATACATGTCTTTTCATAAATTTGAAAACGTTGAATTCACAGACCTTCCTGAACATGTTCGTTGACAGCAATCAAGATGCACGAAGACGATCAGTCAATGAAGATGATAATCCACCATCTCCTATTGGAGGGGACATGATGGATACATTGATATCACAACTTCAGCCACAGCAGCAGGTAGCATATATGCATGCACAAATTTAGTATTTCAGACTAAATATTGTCATTTGGGACAAATGCCTATTCTTACTCCAATCTGGTAAGATAATACAAATGGAGAAACAATAAGGTGAAAGCCCTAGCTTGGTAACTGAAGATAATACTTTTCAAATAAAAAGGTCAGAAGTTTAATTCCATTCTCAAGAAGAGGATATATTAGATTTCGGTCTAAAATCCTGGAGGGATGACATTCAGTTTAAATAACAGAGTTAGTGATGGATCATTGCTCCAATGGTATGTGGAATGACCTTATGAGACAGGAGGAAAAGCTACTTGTTATGCTGCTTAGGTTGTTACAAATTCTGTCTCAGCTGTTATGTTATTTGTATCATGGTATTCTGCAAATTGGTAATTTGTACAGCTACTTACTGCTAGTGTTGCAACAACACTGCTGCTGGCTGGTTTTTCCCAATCCAGAAAGATAGCATGGTTGATAGTATTGAAAGTTGCCAGGAGGTAAAAAATAACAGTGGTGTCAGACTCTCTATCAATCCCCAAATGTCATCCATCGGACCAACCAATATCATGGTCCCTCCTTAACCTACTTTGAAATAAGTCAAGATAATTATAATTACAATCTGTTTCCTTGCAACTATCAGCAGTTGAAAAATTCCAATTCTCCTGTGCGCTGCTTGGAGAACCCAAATATGGGTTAACTTTTGTCTGCTTGCCCAGAGACTGAGTTAGAAATTTCTTGACCACTCCTCTCTACTCAACAGAGCTTAGTTTTTTCAACTCAGTCTGCCTAGAGAGATATAATCAATTTTTTTCCAGCTCACTCTAAACAAAAGTTAAATTACCAGCTTGGATTCTCCTACATCGTGCAGATTTTTCCAGGCCAGTTCAGCAGGAATTATTGGTTTGATTCCTTGATGTTGGCTGCAGGTGAGTGTACTGGTTTGCTCGGTCTGCCAGCTAGAACCACTGCCACCACCATTTACTGGTTTTCTTTTAACTTTAGAGCGGGATCTTCGCAGCCTGGTAATAGTGCCTGATCACTTGGGCTAGTCCTTTTTTTAACCGCAGAATGTCTCTTTGGGCTCTGGGAGACTGGTGCACCGATCTCAGGGCCCTTTTTAATTGAAGGAGCCATGGTTTGTTTTTCAGCATTTGGAGATGCGGTTCGCCATTCTCGTGCCACTTTCAGTTTGTTACAAACCTGTGTCGGTTTCCTTTGGCGTTGGAGTGCTGGTCCACCGCTCTTGTGCCATTTTCAAGATTTAAATTTTGTGGTCTTTTCTCTTGGCGCCAAAAGAGCCGGTACACCACTCTTGTGGCATTTTGGCTGATAGTGTTGTAGCCGGGGATCAGCAGCGTCGGAGGAGGTAGCGTGGCTGAGGCCCGGTATCCTTTTCCTGTCGGACTTTTGGACAATGACGGTTGTACTTCACTACTAGTTGGAGCTTCGGGAAGCCACCTCATCCAAACATGTTAGTTAAAGACTGGCCTAAAATTGTAATAGAAAATATGGATGATCATGGGGAACAAGGGAAATAAATGCCATCTAGAGAACAGTTAGACAAGAGGATGGAACTCGCATTGCTTAATGGTCAGAGAAAACAACCCACCTGAACTGATCAGATAGTTAACATTTTCAGTCAGAGGTTTGGAAGATTCTGTTAATGTTACAGTAAAGCAGATTTAGTTCATCTAATCATGTTTCCTTTCGGGATTACTGACAATAATTACCTTTCCTTGAGAAAGAATCATCACTTTCTGAATCAGGGAGATAAAGGCTGTTCTCCAAGATGGAGGAACCCTTCATTCCAATTGAATTCTGTTAAATAGTTCTTTAAGAAGTTCTACCATTTCTAATTGTAAATTTTTATAATAAACCGCTGTCAGTCCATCTGTACCAGG